AGTACAGCTCTGCGTTGTCTTTTTATACAAATTGTGTGAGTGGCGGCTGCTTCCAGTAGGGTAGAACATGCTTACTCTTTTCAGGAACACCTGGTGTCACCACTGATTTTCAATGCTCTATTATTATAATTTTCACCGCTATTATATCTTTTAGGCCCAGTGGAATCTGTTTCGGCAGATAACCAAATATGGCGCTGTGTTTGATATTTATCAATATCTCACCCATCAAGTTTTAATGTTGGTTGGTTGGTTTGTTGTTTAACCCCGCTCACAGCAATATTCCAGCTATATGACGACGGTCTGTAAATAATCGAGTCTGGACCAGACAATCCAGTGATTGATGTCGTAAGCATCGATCCACGCAATTGGGATCGATGACATGCATCAACCAAGTAAGCGAGGCTGACCACCCGATCCCGTTAGTCGCCTTTTACGACAAGCATAGTCGCCTTTTAGGGCAAGCATGGGTTGCTGAAGACCCATTCTACCCCGGATGTTCACGGGTCTATAGATCATTGAAAGGATCTCGCAATTGATAATAAATGTCTGACAGCAGTTAGAATGTCCGATATCGAGAGCTCATAAGAACCATGTCTAAAGTAAATACGTTTTTAAGCTTCACGCAAATCCATCTAACCCGGATTTTCATAATATTTTTAATCCAGCTTTTCAGGGTTTGTGTGATAAATTCGATTTCCCCGCTAGGTATATACATGCAATCGCATATCAAAGATTCATATATATGATCCTTACTGATATGGCTTGTTTTAGTTGCCACCAAGCAATCCTTACAGTCTGGCGACGATTTAGAACAGACAAGGCTAGAGAAGGCCTAATACAAATGCACTATTGTACAACCAAGAATCTTACTTAAAGACAGGTTTCCCATATATACAATTATCTGCATAAATGGATCAATAGATGGCATCAGCTGCATGTGGAACTGTCAAGATCATGCCATCGTTTCTGTCAGGATAACTTATGGAAGTTCCATCTTTACTGCTGAAGCTATATTACTGGCCCTGAATTATACGGATCTCATATAGAGTGACGCTGGGGGAGGGACTATTAATCCTATATATTATGTACTTATTGTGTAGGTGTCTGGCGGAAAATTAAAGTAATTCATAACAAATGTAAAACATTGAAACGTAAATTCTCTTTACCTAACACACAGGGACACAACTCCCTTTGTGTTTGCGACTAACAAAGTAGTTTCGTATTATCGAAATCTTAAACAAAGTGAACAAAAGTTATCTGTATCATGCAAATAGATATGATTCTATACGAAATCAACTTTAACCAAAAATATTCTTGAAAAACTACGAGTCCGGTGTTGTATGCGAAAGAATACACGGTTGTCAAGTAACAAAAACGGCGCTCGTCTCGAATGGGGTTTAACGTCGCGTCCAAGATTATTGAACTTATATAGCGACGTGCATCTACGTGTGTGCGTTTGTTTGGCTGCTTGTACTAGTCCGGAATGATGCCGATTAGCTCACTGACATACCATGCCACAGTTTACCCCACATGAATACCCCACTCAGACACAGTATGCTGACTCCGAGTCGACCAGTCCTTGTTTTAGCCCCTTAAAGCCGAGAGCCAGACAGGGTAACAACAAGTATCATCTTTTGACGTCTTTTGGTATGACGCGGCCGGGGATCGAACCCGGATCTTCCGCTCTCCGGGCGGACGCTCTACCACAAGACCACGGAGGCGGTCGTCAAAATGTTATTTCTCACATCAGTGAAATATCAATTGTTATGTTCACTGCAATGAAAATGCCACTTTTCCCAACTTCAGCAAACTCAGTCTTTCACTCTGAAGTATATCATAAATCATTAATTCCACTGGAGCAAACGTTAACGAGATGCCATGAACATACATGTATCTATATGTTGCTCTCAGAAATATGCGACCCGTGAAGATCCGGGGTAGAATGGGTCTTTAGCAATCCATGCTTGTCCTAAAAGGTGGCTATGCTTGTCGTTAGAGGCGACTAACGGTATTGGGTGGTCAGACTCGCTGACATGTCACCGATCCCAATTGCGTGGATCGATGCTCATGATGTCACTGGATTGTCTGGTCCAGACTCGATTATTTACAGACCGCCGTCATATAGCTGGAATATTCCTGAGTGCGGCGTTAAACAACAAACAAACAAAATCAGAAATATGCGTTCACAGCCGTCTGTCCGGCAACCAATGTGAATACTTCAATACCTTTCACTTTAACTGAATCATCAGGAGCATGTGACCTGTTGTCCAGAGAAAGGCATGCCGACAAGGAGTATTTTACGGCCGGTTCCTCATATTAACTTTGTCGGTAGATTAAATTAACTTAATAGCGATCATGGTACACCGGCATAAGCTGCGGCCGAAACTTGATAAATTGGTTTACGGATAAAAAATATAATGTGGAAAATTATGAAATCTCAAAAGCGTAATTTTCATTCCACTGAATTAAACATTACGTGTTCACAACACCTGTGCGTACAAACTTTGTTTGATTGGCAATATGTCAGCTATATGACGGCTGTATGTGAATAACCGAGTCTGGACCAGACAATCTAGTCTGTCTTACAGACCCTGATACAAATATATATGAAATACAGCCCATGCAAGTCTATGGCGTGACGAGCGAACGCTTTAACCGCTAGGCTACCCGACCGCCCCGTTATTTTATGAATGAGGAACACCGAGAATGGCTAGCACACATTGTAGCCATATTGAAAATCGAAACCGAATACTAGAATTCGGCGGGACGAGCGAACTCTTTGACCACTACGCCAGTCCACCGCCCCTCCTTACCTGTTCATGTTTGTTAACCATTACCTGTGTTCTGGTTTCAGTGGGTGAGTGAGTTTTTTACGCCACTTAAAACAATATTGCATCAACACCATAACGATGCCATGCCGCAAATTGAGACACATGTAGTACATGTGGGGTCTCCCCTGTTCATTCAGCAGTGAATGGGTACCCGGTAGTATGAAATGTGACTGTTAACCTTCCAGCGCATTACAGGCAACTTTGGTTGTATACTCCTCAAGGAGCTGAGAATGAAAATAAAGTGTCCACTGGTCCATTCACCGGGGAGGTAATGTAGGGCTTTGAACATACTTTAGAGTGTCGATTTGGCGTATTAAATATCACCACATCGTTATTGCAATAAGTGGGTTGGTTACCAGTATGTTTCCATGTCGGGAATACAACATGGGCGTTCGGCGAGCACTTTCGCCACTCGACCTTCCTACAACCATGAAATGCAAGTAAATGAGCCATGGGAATGGTGGGTACGGGGGGGGGGAGGTGCACTGAACAAAAAATGTTTAAATTTAATTTGTCTTGTTAAGGAATACAGGTAAGCAAACACAACCAATACAGACACACATTCTGAACATTTTCTGTAGGTTCGAGAGGTGGCAAGTTAGCACATGGGTATATGGGGAAATGATGCTCAAAGCGAAGTCAAGACCAACTCATCCACCATTCTGGTTTAAAGAAAGTTATTAATGTGTTTGATTAATATTAAGTTGTCCAAAGGTAGACAGCACAACATCATATTATTGGAAGAGTTGATTTGTCCTCCACATCAAATTAGACACGCTGGACACGATCATGATGCACAGATTATTCACATGTGTATCGTAGTCATAATCATCATTACTATCATATTGCAAAGGGAATTTGTAGTAAACGCCACATCCTGCAACAGTCCAGGTCCGATTACATAATGTCTGTAATAATCTGGACAGGGCAAACGAGTATGAAAACAGTTAAGACGGAAAGCATGAGCTGCGCCATCGGTAAGAGTGCCTTACCGTCCGATTCATTGTACGACAAGCATAGTAAGTGAGTATGGTTTTACGCCGTTTATAACAATATTCCGACAATATCACGACTGGGAACACCAGAAATAGTCTTCAAAAATTGTACCTATATGGGGAATCAAACCCACTAGGCTTCCCCACCGCCCTACGACAAGCATACTTCCACTAAGGTATCCTTGTCGGTGTATCAACACTTCCATCACGACCGACTGATGAATGAGTTTAAGGTATATACTGTGAACGATGCAGTCAACATGTCGCTCATTACATCCCCCATCTGGTGAGGTGAGGTGAAACTGGGTTTAACGCCGCGTCCAAGATTATTGCACTTATATAGCGACGTGCATGTACGTGTGTGTGTTTGTGTGGCTGCTTGAACTAGGCCGGACTGATGCCGATTTATAGTGCTGGCCCACTGATATACCATGCCGCTGTTTAACATGAATACCCCACTCAGACACAGTAAAGTGACGCCGAGCCCACCTTGTTTTAGCCCCTTAACGTCAGGCAGGGTAACAACAAGCACCATATTGTTACGTCTTTAGGTATGACGCGGCCGGGGTTCGAACCCGGGACCACCGGTCCCGCTCTCTGGTTGGACGCTCTACCACCGGAACACGGAGGCGGTCCTCTACAATAGACATTAGCCGAGTCAGTCGTCAGGATCATGAACGCATATAGCCAGACAGCGTATTTCAGAGGGTTCACATCTGTCCTGATACAGATAGAAAGAGTGTCACGGTTAATGAGTGATTGCTATTGTATTTGCAATGAACATAAACATGTGTTTTCCGCTTTGAGGACCTTTTCTGTCTACTTGATGAGCTGACATCAGATATTCAGTTATCGCTCGCGAACTTGAAAACAGTTAATGTAGACAGTATATACTGAAGATTTAACCGCGCTCAATTTAACATTTAAAACATCCTTTTGCGCGTTCGGTTCCAACTTCAATTAAGCGTTGTTAAATCTACAAGTAACCTAGTTCTACATTGAAAACGTTGTACTTTATCTCATAAGTGAACTCAATCAGTGCTTTGGTTCTTTAACTTTAGAAACGGGTAAATCTGCCAGGATTTTCAACAATTATGTGGTGCCGGGTAGAACACACCTATTACAAGTAATTAGTATGTTCACTTGGACAAGTCAAAGAAAGAACTCCAGCAGGTATAACGTCTATCTTTAGTTCATTGCATGAGTATTAATTGCATAAACATACAGAGTAGATATATAATACACAGTTCAATTATGCACATATCACAATATTATAACAGAAACAATATAATATAGGTAGAACGTATGACCGACTAAAACATGATTTGTGAATATGTACATGAAATATATATATATCACGCCACTACAAATGACGCGCATATTTCCGAAAAAAGCAAAGCAACTGTAGTAGTACAAAGCGCGAAACAATAACAATAGAAGTCTTAAGCACAAATACAATGTATATTTAACAATATGGAAATACATCTCAAGTGTGTTTGACCGGTTCCACACCTGTCAAATATATTACAACCGCTTTTTCTTGACACATCCACCAATTGCCCTCAATTACTGCCTGCACTTTATGGTAATGGATGCCTACATTATCAATCAGATATATTGGGCCATGTAAAACGAACGCAGAAAAGTCCCGATGCGTGTTGGCATCTTAAAAACTGTCCATTCAAGGTTCATATATGGTGTCATCTATCTGTACATCTCCCAGCAGGCACGTGTGTGTATATCTCTGTGGGAATGTGCTTCATGCGCAGGGTTGGAGGTTACCATCTGAAATATGTTGTGGACAAATTACCACTGGATCAGCTCCGTTTTCCAGACAAATATGAAAAATAGGCTACACGTACAACGTGGCTATTTCTGTTATAAATACAGATACGAAAAACAGGTATACGAAAATGGAGTGAATATTGATGACGATACATCAGCAATCGTGAAGATATTCACCGCGAAAATATGAACACGTGTGGGTTTCATTTCAACGCTGACGTTGAGTCATTCGATGATTAAACTTTTAACAAAAACAGTGCGTTACGCTTTAGTCAACAATATTAAAACTGTTTATATCACTTTGAAACAGCTTATGTAGTTTACCTTCTACGTGTTTACAGTAGTAGTCGGAGGGTATGTTTGTGCAAGGTATAGCGTCCTCTGAAATGTGGAACTGCACCTGTAGTCCAGGTCCACATTCATGGGGGTACTTCACACCATTTACACACCAGTAGTACTGAGAACAGTTACCAGGGTATGTGTTCGCCCTTGCGATGTAGGCGTATGTGCTGCAGTCACACTTAGAAGGAGGAGCTGTAAAATCAATAGGAACAGTTGCAGTCCTTTTCACCTTTACCCTACACCCTCTCTTCCCCTATACCGTCTCTTTAAGCAATGTGTGGAAATATTCGTTATCATCTCTCTCTGCATGCAGGCCCAAAACTCTCACTCAAGGCTCAGATCGTTCCCCATTGGGCTCAAATCAGTCCTCTTTGCAATACAATACTCTCTCTCTCTCTCTCTCTCTCTCTCTCTCTCTCTCTCTCTCTCTCTCTCTCTCTCTCTCTCTCTCTCTCATACATACATTATTTTCGGCGTAAAGTCAACGCACCCGTTACTATGTACGTAACAAACAAAGCACATCGCAGTGAATACTATCACTAAATACTGTTAAATCGGACGTACTGAATTACTACTTATTTCCGGATGGTTTGTGTTAAAGCAAAAATGCACAGCACGTTTAAGGTATCTCAGACAATACTATGTTTAATTTTTAGAACTGGCTATAAGCATTAATTTGTCAGAATGTGCGATTACTAATGACTTGTAAGTTGAAACAAAAGATATTATTGTGTACATATGTATTTTAGAACTGGATATTATCATTATAAGTTAAGATAATGAGATTACTAAGGACTTGTAAGTCTTCATTTCTTAAGTGTCATTCACTCGCAATGAAACGGAAACAAATAAACTTCAATCTTACTCGTAGTACTAAGTGTTACTTTTCCATTACCTGCCGTAGTTGTCCCTGCTGGGGCTATTAAAAATAAAGAAAATATCGTGTTGAACTTGTGCTTTGTGTTTTGACAAAACAAGAATTATTAAGAAAAAGTGATAATCAGATATATTGCAGACAAATCCTCGCATCTCTGATAAGACCCAATTCTCTGCCTTACTTTAGTACACAGCATGGCTTTAGCGCCAAAAAGAACAAAGTGTTATGTAAATGCGATAGGCGATATGCGATATGCAACATACTTTAAGTACTATATTTGATACACATCTTTCGAAGAGAACAACAGCTTTCAATGATCTATAAAATTCTAAGTTAAAACAAAAAGGTATTAATGTGTACATATGTATTTTAGAACTGGATATTATCATTATAAGTTTAGATAATGAGATTACTAAGGACTTGTAAGTCTTCATTTCTTAAGTGTGTTTCACTCGCAATGAAACGGAAACAAATAAACTTCAATCTTACTCGTAGTACTAACTGTTACTTTTCCATTACCTGTTGTAGTTGCCCCTGCTGGTGCTATTAAAAACAAAGAAAATATGGTGTTGAACTTGTGCTTTGTGTTTTGACAAAACAAGAATTATCAAGAAAAAGTGATAATCAGAATCTTGTGGACATATTATACAAAACGACAAATCCTCGCTTCTCTGATAGGACCCAATTCTCTGCCCTTCTTTAGTACACAGTATGGCTTAGCAACCAAAACGGCAAAGTGTTATGCGATATGCGATATGCGATATGCGATTTACTTTAACAACTACATGTAATACACAACTTTCAGAGAGAAAAACAGCTTTCAATTATCTATAAAATTCTAAGTTTTAAAAAAAGATATTAATGTGTACATACGTATTTTAGATCTGGCTATTATCGTTAATTTGTCAGATAATGAGGTTACTAAGGGGAAGTCTTCAGTTCTGAATATGTTACAACTGCGCTGAAATTGAAACGAATAAACTTCAATCTTACCCGTGGTACAAACTGTCAATCAGAATCATTGATGTAATTTAAACGGTATTTTATTTGTCTAAGAAACCCACATCTTAATGCAAACTGTAATCGAACAACAAACAGGCATCTATCTATTGTACGTGTATCACTCACATTCGACGTATCATGATGACGCAAAGATATGAGAGGAGAACATGACTTTCCGATTATAAAAAAAGACATACTCACGGGATGAGGAACTTTTCAGTGCACAGAATGAAAGTGTATAGTCGCTGGTGCATGCCAAAGATTGCGTCGCATTAGCGATGAAAAAGGAACTTCCCCAACATGTTCTGTTGATTGGGGTTCCGTTTACACACCAATAATACTCCTTGCAGTGACTTGGGTGAGTGTATTCACGAGGTATGTTGTCGCCAGTTGCTCTACTTTCGCAGGAGAATGGATCTTGAACAAATAACTGACATGGTACACATGCCTAAGTAACATAAACATACAGTGAAACATGCTCAGTATGCTTCTCACAAATTGGTTCATGTGTATGGCACTGTACAGTGATAAATGATACCATTGATATCTCATAGATGTAACTTTAATCATTCTCAGATCAGTTGTATTGAAACAATAATGTTCTTTTAGTAATATTACCTGCCGTAGTGGCCCCTGCTGCTGCTATTGAAAACAAAGAAAATATCGTGTTGACCTTGCGATTCGTGTTGGGACATAACAAGAATTATTCACAAAAAGTGATAACCAGAATCTTGTGGACACATTATACAAATGGACAAATCCTCGCATCTCTGATAAGATGCAATTTTCTGCCTTACCTTAGTATACATTTTGGCTTCAGCGCCAAAAAGAACAAATTGTTATGCGATATGCGATATGCGATATACTTTAACTACTACATGTGATACACAACTTTCGAAGAGAAAAACAGCTTTCAATGATCTATAAAATTCTAAGTTAAAACAAAAAGATAATAATGTGTACATATGTATTTTAGAACTGGATTTTATCATTAAAAGTTCAGATAATGAGATTACTAAGGACTTGTAAGTCTTCATTTCTTAAGTGTCATTCACTCGCAATGAAACGGAAACAAATAAACTTCAATCTTACTCGTAGTACTAACTGTTACTTTTCCATTACCTGCCGTAGTTGTCCCTGCTTGGGCTATTAAAAACAAAGAAAATATCGTGTTGAACTTATGCTTTGTGTTTTGACAAAACAAGAATTATTAAGAAAAAGTGATAATCAGATATATTGCAGACAAATCCTCGCATCTCTGATAAGACCCAATTCTCTGCCTTACTTTAGTACACAGCATGGCTTTAGCGCCAAAAAGAACAAAGTGTTATGTAAATGCGATAGGCGATATGCGATATGCAACATACTTTAAGTACTATATTTGATACACATCTTTCGAAGAGAACAACAGCTTTCAATGATCTATAAAATTCTAAGTTAAAACAAAAAGGTATTAATGTGTACATATGTATTTTAGAACTGGATATTATCATTATAAGTTTAGATAATGAGATTCCTAAGGACTTGTAAGTCTTCATTTCTTAACTGTGTTTCACTCGCAATGAAACGGAAACAAATAAACTTCAATCTTACTCGTAGTACTAACTGTTACTTTTCCATTACCTGTTGTAGTTGCCCCTGCTGGTGCTATTAAAAACAAAGAAAATATGGTGTTGAACTTGTGCTTTGTGTTTTGACAAAACAAGAATTATTAAGAAAAAGTGATAATCAGAATCTTGTGGACATATTATACAAAACGACAAATCCTCGCTTCTCTGATAGGACCCAATTCTCTGCCCTTCTTTAGTACACAGTATGGCTTAGCAACCAAAACGGCAAAGTGTTATGCGATATGCGATATGCGATATACTTTAACTACTACATGTGATACACAACTTTCAGAGAGAAAAACAGCTTTCAATTATCTATAAAATTCGAAGTTTTAAAAAAAGATATTAATGTGTACATATGTATTTTAGATCTGGCTATTATCGTTAATTTGTCAGATAATGAGGTTACTAAGGGGAAGTCTTCAGTTCTGAATATGTTACAACTGCGCTGAAATTGAAACGAATAAACTTCAATCTTACCCGTGGTACAAACTGTCAATCAGAATCATTGATGTAATTTAAACGGTATTTTGTTTGTCTAAGAAACCCACATCTTAATGCAAACTGTAATCGAACAACAAACAGGCATCTATCTATTGTACGTGTATCACTCATTCGACGTATCATGATGACGCAAAGATATGAGAGGAGAACATGACTTTCCGATTATAAAAAAAGACATACTCACGGGATGAGGAACTTTTCAGTGCACAGAATGAAAGTGTATAGTCGCTGGTGCATGCCAAAGATTGCGTCGCATTAGCGATGAAAAAGGAACTTCCCCAACATGTTCTGTTGATTGGGGTTCCGTTTACACACCAATAATACTCCTTGCAGTGACTTGGGTGAGTGTATTCACGAGGTATGTTGTCGCCAGTTGCTCTACTTTCGCAGGAGAATGGATCTTGAACAAATAACTGACATGGTACACATGCCTAAGTAACATAAACATACAGTGAAATATGCTCAGTATGCTTCTCACAAATTGGTTCATGTGTATGGTACTGTACAGTGATAAATGATACCATTGATATCACATAGATGTAACTTTAATCATTCTCAGATCAGTTGTATTGAAACAATAATGTTCTTTTAGTAATATTACCTGCCGTAGTGGCCCCTGCTGCTGCTATTGAAAACAAAGAAAATATCGTGTTGACCTTGCGATTCGTGTTGTGACATAACAAGAATTATTCACAAAAAGTGATAACCAGAATCTTGTGGACACATTATACAAATGGACAAATCCTCGCATCTCTGATAAGATGCAATTTTCTGCCTTACCTTAGTATACATTTTGGCTTCAGCGCCAAAAAGAACAAATTGTTATGCGATATGCGATATGCGATATGCGATATGCGATATACTTTAACTACTACATGTGATACACAACTTTCGAAGAGAAAAACAGCTTTCAATGATCTATAAAATTCTAAGTTAAAACAAAAAGATAATAATGTGTACATATGTATTTTAGAACTGGATTTTATCATTAAAAGTTCAGATAATGAGATTACTAAGGACTTGTAAGTCTTCATTTCTTAAGTGTCATTCACTCCAATGAAACGGAAACAAATAAAGTACAATCTTACTCGTAGTACTAACTGTTACTTTTCCATTACCTGCCGTAGTTGTCCCTGCTTGGGCTATTAAAAACAAAGAAAATATCGTGTTGAACTTATGCTTTGTGTTTTGACAAAACAAGAATTATTAAGAAAAAGTGATAATCATATATATTGTAGACAAATCCTCGCATCTCTGATAAGACCCAGTTCTCTGCCTTACTTTAGTACACAGCATGGCTTTAGCGCCAAAAAGAACAAAGTGTTATATAAATGCGATAGGCGATATGCGATATGCAACATACTTTAAGTACTATATTTGATACACATCTTTCGAAGAGAACAACAGCTTTCAATGATCTATAAAATTCTAAGTTAAAACAAAAAGGTATTAATGTGTACATATGTATTTTAGAACTGGATATTATCATTATAAGTTTAGATAATGAGATTACTAAGGACTTGTAAGTCTTCATTTCTTAAGAGTGTTTCACTCGCAATGAAACGGAAACAAATAAACTTCAATCTTACTCGTAGTACTAACTGTTACTTTTCCATTACCTGTTGTAGTAGCCCCTGCTGGTGCTATTAAAAACAAAGAAAATATGGTTTTGAAATTGTGCTTTGTGTTTTGACAAAACAAGAATTATTAAGAAAAAGTGATAATCAGAATATTGTGGACATATTATAAAAAACGACAAATCCTCGCTTCTCTGATAGGACCCAATTCTCTGCCCTTCTTTAGTACACAGTATGGCTTAGCGCCCCAAACGGCAAAGTGTTATGCGATATGCGATATGCGATATGCGATATACTTTAACAACTACATGTAATACACAACTTTCAGAGAGAAAAACAGCTTTCAATTATCTATAAAATTCTAAGTTTTAAAAAAAGATATTAATGTGTACATATGTATTTTAGATCTGGCTATTATCGTTAATTTGTCAGATAATGAGGTTACTAAGGGGAAGTCTTCAGTTCTGAATATGTTACAACTGCGCTGAAATTGAAACGAATAAACTTCAATCTTACCCGTGGTACAAACTGTCAATCAGAATCATTGATGTAATTTAAACGGTATTTTATTTGTCTAAGAAACCCACATCTTAATGCAAACTGTAATCGAACAACAAACAGGCATCTATCTATTGTACGTGAATCACTCATTCGACGTATCATGATGACGCAAAGATTAGAGAGGAGAACATGACTTTCCGATTATAAAAAGACATACTCACGGGATGAGGAACTTTTCAGTGCACAGAATGAAAGTGTATAGTCGCTGGTGCATGCCAAAGATTGCGTCGCATTAGCGATGAAAAAGGAACTTCCCCAACATGTTCTGTTGATTGGGGTTCCGTTTACACACCAATAATACTCCTTGCAGTGACTTGGGTGAGTGTATTCACGAGGTATGTTGTCGCCAGTTGCTCTACTTTCGCAGGAGAATGGATCTTGAACAAATAACTGACATGGTACACATGCCTAAGTAACATAAACATACAGTGAAACATGCTCAGTATGCTTCTCACAAATTGGTTCATGTGCATGGCACTGTACAGTGATAGATGATACCATTGATATCACATAGATGTAACTTTAATCATTCTCAGATCAGTTGTATTGAAACAATAATGTTCTTTTAGTAATATTACCTGCCGTAGTGGCCCCTGCTGCTGCTATTGAAAACAAAGAAAATATCGTGTTGACCTTGCGATTCGTGTTGGGACATAACAAGAATTATTCAGAAAAAGTGATAACCAGAATCTTGTGGACACATTATACAAAAGGACAAATCCTCGCATCTCTGATAAGACGCAATTTTCTGCCTTACCTTAGTATACATTTTGGCTTCAGCGCCAAAAGAACAAATTGTTATGCGATATGCGATATGCGATATGCGATATACTTTAACTACTACATGTGATACACAACTTTCGAAGAGAAAAACAGCTTTCAATGATCTATAAAATTCTAAGTTAAAACCAAAAGATAATAATGTGTACATATGTATTTTAGAACTGGATTTTATCATTAAAAGTTCAGATAATGAGATTACTAAGGACTTGTAAGTCTTCATTTCTTAAGTGTCATACACTCCAATGAAACGGAAACAAATAAACTTCAATCTTACTCGTAGTACTAACTATTACTTTCCCATTACCTGCCGTAGTTGCCCCTCCTGGGGCTATTAAAAACAAAGAAAATATCGTGTTGAACTTATGCTTTGTGTTTTGACAAAACAAGAATTATTAAGAAAAAGTGATAATCAGATATATTGTAGACAAATCCTCGCATCTCTGATAAGACCCAATTCTCTGCCTTACTTTAGTACACAGCATGGCTTTAGCGCCAAAAAGAACAAAGTGTTATATAAATGCGATAGGCGATATGCGATATCCAACATACTTTAAGTACTATATTTGATACACATCTTTCGAAGAGAACAACAGCTTTCAATGATCTATAAAATTCTAAGTTAAAACAAAAAGGTATTAATGTGTACATATGTATTTTAGAACTGGATATTATCATTATAAGTTTAGATAATGAGATTACTAAGGACTTGTAAGTCTTCATTTCTTAAGAGTGTTTCACTCGCAATGAAACGGAAACAAATAAACTTCAATCTTACTCGTAGTACTAACTGTTACTTTTCCATTACTTGCCGTAGTAGCCCCTGCTGGTGCTATTAAAAACAAAGAAAATATGGTGTTGAACTTGTGCTTTGTGTTTTGACAAAACAAGAATTATTAAGAAAAAGTGATAATCAGAATATTGTGGACATATTATAAAAAACGACAAATCCTCGCTTCTCTGATAGGACCCAATTCTCTGCCCTTCTTTAGTACACAGTATGGCTTAGCGCCCCAAACGGCAAAGTGTTATGCGATATGCGATATGCGATATACTTTAACTACTACATGTAATACACAACTTTCAGAGAGAAAAACAGCTTTCAATTATCTATAAAATTCTAAGTTTTAAAAAAAGATATTAATGTGTACATATGTATTTTAGATCTGGCTATTATCGTTAATTTGTCAGATAATGAGGTTACTAAGGGGAAGTCTTCAGTTCTGAATATGTTACAACTGCGCTGAAATTGAAACGAATAAACTTCAATCTTACCCGTGGTACAAACTGTCAATCAGAATCATTGATGTAATTTAAACGGTATTTTATTTGTCTAAGAAACCCACATCTTAATGCAAACTGTAATCGAACAACAAACAGGCATCTATCTATTGTACGTGTATCACTCACATTCGACGTATCATGATGACGCAAAGATTAGAGAGGAGAACATGACTTTCCGATTATAAAAAAAAGACATACTCACGGGATGAGGAACTTTTCAGTGCACAGAATGAAAGTGTATAGTCGCTGGTGCATGCCACAACTGGTGTCGCATTAGCGATGAAAAAGGAACTTTCTTGACATGTTCTGTTGTAGGGAGCTCCGTTTACACACCAATAATACTCCTTGCAGTAGCTTGGGTGAGTGTATTCACGAGGTATGTTGTCGCCAGTTGCTCTACTTTCGCAGGAGAATGGATCTTGAACAAATAACTGACATGGTACACATGCCTAGGTAACATAAACATACAGTGAAACGTGCTCAGTATGCTTCTCACAAAGTGGATCATGTGCATTGCACTGTACACTGTTAAATGATACCATTGATATCCCACAGATTTAACTTTAATCATTCTCAGATCAGTTGTATTGAAACAATAATGTTCTTTCAGTAATATTACCTGTCGTAGTGGCCCTTGCTGGTGCTATTTAAAACAAAAAAGATATCGTGTTGAACTTGCGAATCGTGTTGTGACATAACAAGAATTATTAAGAAAAAGTGATAATCAGAATATTGTGGACATATTATACAAAAGGACAAATCCTCGCATCTCTGATAAGAGCCAATTTTCTGCCTTACTCTAGTATACAGCATGGCTTTAGCGCCAAAAAGAACAAAGTGTTATGCGATATGCGATATGCGATATGCTTTAACTACTACATGTGATACACAACTTTCGAAGAGAAAAACAGCTTTCAATGATCTATAAAATTCTAAGTTAAAACAAAAAGATATTAATGTGTACATATGTATTTTAGAACTGGATATTATCATTATAAGTTTAGATAATGAGATTACTAAGGACTTGTAAGTCTTCATTTCTTAAGTGTGTTTCACTCGCAATGAAACGGTAACAAATAAACTTCAATCTTACTCGAAGTACTAACTGTTACTTTTCCATTACCTGCCGTAGTTGCCCCTGCTGGTGCTATTATAAACGAAGAAAATATCGTGTTGAACTTGTGGTTTGTGTTTTGACATAGCAAGAATTATTAAGAAAAAGTGATAATCAGAATATTGTAGACATATTATACAAAATGACAAATCCTCGCATCTATGATAAGACCCAATTCTCTGCCTTACTCTAGTATACAGCATGGCTTTAGCGCCAAAAAGAACAAAGTGTTATGTGATATGCGATATGCTTTAACTACTACATGTGATACACAACTTTCAGAGAGAAAAACAGCTTTCAATTATCTATAAAATTCTAAGTTTTAAAAAAAGATATTAATGTGTACATATGTATTTTAGATCTGGCTATTATCGTTAATTTGTCAGATAATGAGGTTACTAAGGGGAAGTCTTCAGTTCTGAATATGTTACAACTGCGCTGAAATTGAAACGAATAAACTTCAATCTTACCCGTGGTACAAACTGTCAATCAGAATCATTGATGTAATTAAAACGGTATTTTATTTGTCTAAGAAACCCACATCTTAATGCAAACTGTAATCGAACAACAAACAGGCATCTATCTATTGTACGTGTATCACTCACATTCGACGTATCATGATGACGCAAAGATTAGAGAGGAGAACATGACTTTCCGATTATAAAAAAAGACATACTCACGGGATGAGGAACTTTTCAGTGCACAGAATGAAAGTGTATAGTCGCTGGTGCATGCCACAACTGGTGTCGCATTAGCGATGAAAAAGGAACTTTCTTGACATGTTCTGTTGTAGGGAGCTCCGTTTACACACCAATAATACTCCTTGCAGTAGCTTGGGTGAGTGTATTCACGAGGTATGTTGTCGCCAGTTGCTCTACTTTCGCAGGAGAATGGATCTTGAACAAATAACTGACATGGTACACATGCCTAGGTAACATAAACATACAGTGAAACGTGCTCAGTATGCTTCTCACAAAGTGGATCATGTGCATTGCACTGTACACTGTTAAATGATACCATTGATATCCCACAGATTTAACTTTAATCATTCTCAGATCAGTTGTATTGAAACAATAATGTTCTTTCAGTAATATTACCTGTCGTAGTGGCCCTTGCTGGTGCTATTTAAAACAAAAAAGATATCGTGTTGAACTTGCGAATCGTGTTGTGACATAACAAGAATTATTAAGAAAAAGTGATAATCAGAATCTTGTGGACATATTATACAAAAGGACAAATCCTCGCATCTCTGATAAGAGCCAATTTTCTGCCTTACTCTAGTATACAGCATGGCTTTAGCGCCAAAAAGAACAAAGTGTTATGCGATATGCGATATGCTTTAACTACTACACGTGATACACAACTTTCGAAGAGAAAAACAGCTTTCAATGATCTATAAAATTCTAAGTTAAAACAAAAAGATATTAATGTGTACATATGTATTTTAGAACTGGATTTTATCATTATAAGTTTAGATAATGAGATTACTAAGGACTTGTAAGTCTTCATTTCTTAAGTGTGTTTCACTCGCAATGAAACGGAAACAAAAAAACTTCAATCTTACTCGTAGTACTAACTGTTACTTTTCCATTACCTGCCGTAGTTGTCCCTGCTGGTGCTATTAAAAACAAATAAAATATCGTGTTTAATTTGTGGTTTGTGTTTTGACATAACAATTATTAAGAAAAAGTGATAATCAGATATATTGTAGACAAATCCTCGCATCTCTGATAAGACCCAATTCTCTGCCTTACTTTAGTACACAGCATGGCTTTAGCGCCAAAAAGAACAAAGTGTTATATATATGCGATATGCGATATGCGATATGCGATATGCGATATGCGACATACTTTTACTACTATATTTGATACATATCTTTCGAAGAGAAAACAGTTTTCAATGATCTATAAAATTCTAAGTTAAAACAAAAAGATATTAATGTGTACATATGTATTTTAGAACTGGATATTATTATTATAAGTTTAGATAATGAGATTACTAAGGACTTGTAAGTCTTCATTTCTTAAGTGTGTTTCACTCGCAATGAAACGGAAACAAATAAACCTCAATCTTACTCGTAGTACTAACTGTTACTTTTCCATTACCTCCCGTAGTGGCCCCTGCTGGTGCTATTAAAAACAAAGAAAATATCGTGTTGAACTTGTGGTTTGTGTTTTGACATGACAAGATTTATTAAGAAAAGGTGATAATCAGATATATTGTAGACATATTATACAAAATGACAAATCCTCGCATCTATGATAAGACCCAATTCTCTGCCTTTCTTTAGTGCACAGAATGGCTTTAGCGGCAAAAGAACAAAGTGTTATGCGATATGCGATATACTTGAACTACTACATGTGATACACAACTTTCCAATTTGAAACAGCTTTCAATATTCTATACTATTCTTAGTTTTAAAAACAAATATTAATGTGTACATATGTATTTAAGAACTGAATTTCATCATTATTATTTTAGAAAAGGAGATCACTAATCACTTGTAAGTCTTCCTTTTTTTAAATGTTTCACTCGCAATGAAACGGAAACGAATAAACTTCAGTCTTACCCGTTGTACTTACTCTTATTTTTGCATTACCTGCCATAGTGGCCCCTGCTGGTGATTTAAAACAAAGAAAAAATCGCGTTGAACTTGTGGTTTTAGTTTGGACAAAACAAGAATTATAAAGCAAAAGTGATAATCAGAATCTTGTGGACATATTATACAAAAGGACAAATCCTGGCTTCTCTGATAAGACCCAGTTCTCTGCCTTTCTTTAGTGCACAGTATGGCTAAAGCTCCGAAAAGAACAAATGTTATACGATGTGCAATATACTCTCACTTCTGAATGTAATACACAACTTTCAAAGAGAAAAACAGCTTTCAATTATCTATACAATTCTAAGTACAAAGACATCTTAATATGTACATATGTATTTTCAGAACTGGATATTATCATTAATTTATTAGATAATGAGGTTACTAATGACTTGTAAGTCTTCAGTTCTGAAATATGTGTAACTCGCAATGAAACTGAAACGAAAAACCTTCAATTTTACCCGTGGTACTAACTGTTACATTTCCAATTCTATAACTATCCCTTGCTGAAAGGACAATTACAATCAGAATCATTGGTGTCATTTAAACGGTTTTTTGTTTGTAAAAAAACGTAAAAAAACCATTGTTTAATAAAACTGTTGTCGAACAACAAATAGACATATCTAACAGGCATCTATCTATTCTACGTGTATCACCCAAATTCCACGCATAATAACGGTGTAACGGTTTGATGAAGAACATGACTTTCCGATTATGAAATAAAGCATTATCACTGGATGAGGAACTCTTCTGGGCACAAAATGACAAATGTATAATCGTCAGTGCCGGCCAAAGTTTGTGTCGCATTAGCGATGTAACAGGAACTTCCCCAACATGTTCTGTTGATTTGGGCTCCGATTACACACCAATAATACTCCTTGCAGTGACTTGGGAGAGTGTATTCACGAGGTATGTTGTCGCCAGTTGCTCTACTTTCGAAGGAGAATGGATCTTGAACAAATAACTGACATGGTACACATGCCTAGGTGACATAAAAATACAGTGAAACATGCCCAGTATGCTTCTCACAAATTGGTTCATGTGTATGGCACTGTACAGTGATAAATGATACCATTGATATCACATAGATGTAACTTGAATCATTCTCAGATCAGTTGTATTGAAACAATAATGTTTTTAGTAAAAGTACCTCCCGTAGTGGCCCCAGCTGCTGCTGTTTATAACAAAGAAAACATCGTGTTGAAAATGTGGTTAACGTTTTGACATATCAAGAATATTAAGCCAAAGTGACACTCATAATTCTATGGACAAGTTATAAAAATGACTCATCTTTGCGTCTCTGATAAGACCCAGTTTTTTTACTCTCTTCAGCGCACGTTATGGCGTTATGCGATATACTTTAACTACTAAATGTGATACACAAGTTTCAAAGAGAACACCAGTTTTCAATCATCTATACACTTCTAAATTAAGATAGTTCTTCAGATCTTCCAACCACATCTCTTGGTCAATATCAATACAAAAAATATACACTTTCTACCATTACCAACCCAAACTGACCCAAAACCATGACCAATCCACACTGACCCACTGGTTTTTAGAATCAAATACGCAATATAATAATACCCTTATGTGCTGAGTGAGTGAGTGACTGAGTATGGTTTTACGCCGCTTTTAGCAATATCCCAGCAACATCACGGCGGGGGACACCAGAAATGGGCTTCACACATTGTACCCATGTTGGGAATCGAACCCGGGTCTTCGGCGTGGCGAGCGAACGCTTTAACCACTAGGCTACCCGACCGCCCCCTTATGTTCTGAAGATAACTGGTGTAAATATATCAGTTTCAGAATAAATTTTCCCTCGTGTAGAGGGACGGGTCAAATACTTTATAGTTTTGACGAACAGAATTACTTGTGAATAATTCCCAAATTCTCCACGTGCTACAGTTGCAGGTATACTTCTATGAAGATACAAGATGTCTTAACCAAAACGACTGCATCCGGTGATAGATGGAAACAATCAATGATACTTCTAATTGTAACGTACTGAAATGATACACTTTTGACCTCAAAACTTGTAATACTTTAAAGAACAGTTTCATATGATCTAAAACGCCCTTTCTTAAAAACTACAACTTTACTTTTAACTAAAATTTGCCATTTATCATCACACTGTTGAGATATCTTATCTAATATTATCCGATGACCCGGAAATGGCATTCCCAATGCGTAAGCCAATTTGTTGGAACCGTCTGAACGTATTGTAGCTAACAAAATGTGATATGTTGAATCTTCGTTTCTCTCTTTATTACACAATAGAAGAAGTATAGACGCTATATGAGCTTAACCTGTTTATACGAATAGAGCGGTGATTATCTTGGATACGAAACTCTTCAATTCGTTTATAGAAACAATATAATAGAAAAGTGGACAAATTAGTCTTTTACTTTTTTTAGGTTGGATCGTAGGACGTTATCATTGATTCCACATGCCTGAGGCAGTTTTCATTTGCAACACCATCATTAAGATCATTAAAAGTCACATTTCGGTTGGGTATGACATGTAAATAGTATGTAGCTCTTATAATTTTCACTTTGATTGTTGATTAGATGTGAAGACACACATTTACTGAGGACAAATAACAGAACATGTTCAAAACATGTCAGTCTCCTGATGATGCAACTAAAAACAAATATATGCAATTAACCATATGCCGTGATGAAGAGAAGGTACAGGAAATATTATATGTACGGAGTACATGATACTCATAACCGTAGTTTAAGGATTACGATTACCTTACACTGCACAATCGCTGGTGCAGGACAAACCTGGTATCTCTTTATCGATGGAAAAGGAAATCCCCTAGCATAACCGTTTACACGCCAATTATAATCCTTGCAGTAACGTGCATCCACGAGGCATGAAGGCACCAGATGCTATGCCTTCACATGACTATTGTCCCTTCAGAAAATGTGTTGCATTTATGTAGTAACTTACTGGATAATAACATCTGGGGATGCTGCTTCTACAACTGCTCCCTGGCTAAATGTTTGGATAACTACCCCAGGGTTTGATGTTCGGATTCAAACATCTCGTCTTGATGTTTGGACAATTACATCTTCGTGAACCATGTCAGCTAAATGTCTGGAATTTACTCCAGTATGCAGCAGGTATCAACCCTAAAATCATAATCAAGACTGGGCCTTGAACTTATTATCATCCGATCATTGCAAACCAGAGGGACGACAACCCCATAACAACTCCGTGAATTCAAGAAGGCCACATTAGTCTACAACCCAAGTTGCCTGTGAGGTGCTAAAGGGTTTAGTCATATTATCATCTCACCCTACCGGGGACCCATATACTGCCGTGTGTATAGAGCATATTTCGAAGTCACTTGCCTGAGAACATAACAAATGTGCTACATGTAATTTAGTGTGGAGCAATACAGAATCCCCAAGCTTTCTCAGGAGTCAAACTATTGAAAACGGTCATTGGATCATGTACCACCACTGAAGTGCAACTTAATATGCCTGGTTGTCAACATAATGTTTAAATAGGGACTGTTGTGGATGTTGAATGACAGTGTATTTCATAGTAACGAAAAATGAAAATACATTGAATATACAATGACAATAATAGCTTTCAGACAGAGAACTGGACACGATCGCGATATTGATCAGTTAGTGAGTAATCTGTAGACTAGTCGGTTCAGAACATGCGTTTGTGTTGTTTGTTTGTTGTATAACGCCCCACACCAGCTATTCCAGCTATATGACGGCGGTCTGAAAATAATAGAGTCTGGACCAGGCAATCCCGTGTAACTGATATCATGAGTATAGATCTACTGAAGTGGGATACTATAATATGTACCAACCGAGCCTGACCACCAGATCGCATTAGTCGCCTCTTACGGCCAGCATGTCTTTTTTGCCGTTAAAGGCGACTATGCTTGTCGTAACAGGCGACTAACGGGATCGCGTGGTCAGGCTCGCTGACTTGGTTGATGCATGTCATCGATCCCATTTCCGTGGATCGATGCTCATGATATCAATCACTGAATTGTCTGGTCAAGACTCGACTATTTACAGACCGCCGTCGTATAGCTGGAATATTGCTGAGTGCGGCGAAAAAAACCAAACCAACCAATCTTACGGCAAGCATGGTTTGTTGAAAAACAAAATATGATACTGTATGGATACACAAAATTTGTACATTTCTCAAAGAAACCGCCTTCATACCTTTTGTGGGGATGAAAACTACGACGATGACGCAAATGAGGACGACGAGGGAGATGATTATGATGACAGCTACAATAAGGGTAATGTAGAGCGCACGTGAGGCTTCCTTTCCTTGAATGATGGTAACGGTATTGTCTGCAGCCTAGATTGGTAATATAAAATATGCTTTCTCTCAAACATTAATAGCAGGTTGATCAAATTGCATATTTCTCACTAATTTCCAAATGCTATAAATGACAATATGTTCATATATATATATATATATATATGCACGATTAATGCCTATGGCACTTGGCTATTTTAGTCTGGAAAGGAAGTATGGATTTTAGGTATAATGTTTCCATTAAATGTTTCTCATCAATAATTTGTTCAATGTTAAGCATAAGTGTATAAATAATTTGTTCAATGTTTAGCATGTGTGTATAAATAATTAATGAATAAACACGCCGAAGATAATCATTTACAATATGAAACGAACACGTTTACAAAGGGAATACTTCAATCGTTTAACCACGCGCATATGCCCACGAATAGATAGATATCTACACTAGCGCATTTGCATTCGTGGAGGCCATTCATGCTTGCATGCCAGTTTTAACGTGAATACTCTGAGTGCACCAACACAATTCAGCAATGAACACCCGGGGAATGAATATAGCCCCATGCACTCGCTCAAGCTGAACTACATCCTGCTTGGTGGGTATAAAAAAAATATCGTACGCCCCGGGCGCGTCATACCAACAGACGTTAAAGTTAAAGACACAACAAATATTTATACAAACCTGATGTTGTTGTCCGTCATTCCCTGATCCATCGTTTATTATTTGTTGACTTGGTGGCGATCTGTGTATTGATTCTTTTGTTACTCATGACAATCAAATGAAAGGTGTCGTGAGTGAGTAGTGTTTTAAGCCGCTTTTACCAATATTCCAGCAATATCAAGTGGGGGGACACGATAAATGGGCCTCACAAATTGTACACATGTGGAGAATCGAACCCAGGTCTTCCGCGTGACGAGCTAACGCGTTAACCACTAGGCTACCCCAACGCCCTTATGAAACGTGTAAAAACCATTGGGTACCAGAATTTGCGAAAGGCAAAACGATGTACGATTATATCAATAATACAGTTGTAAGTAATACAATACATACCCTTAATTCGATATAAATTCGATCTGTCAATAAACGCTATTTTACAAAATTTGATGACTAGACATACAAGCTTTGTTTCCTATGACGTGTTTATAGGTTCTGTTGGTAGAAAACTATGACCATAGACGGTTCAGATTCCAAATCCTTTACATCACGTATTTAATAAATGTATTAGAATATGGATTAACCGTTTTAAACATGAGTATATTTCATTAAAGTTCGCACAAGCCTATTTTGCGAAACGATTGAAGATACGTGACACCGAACAACACAGATGCACAAAAAGAAATATGTATTTCATATAAAAAAGCTCAACATTCATATCCCGTTGAAAGAGACAGACTAACATTAATGCATGGACATGAGGAAATGTCATCATTATGAATGTGGATTGACAATGTGTTACAATGTAAATTGAGAAGTAAATGTTCAGTGTATCATTCACACTTTACCTTTAATTACAGACTTGCAATGTGGTTTGTGAAGCACAGCATGCACTGTACATGTACAATCACTGTACAGCAACATCAGTAAAGTCAATACACGTGTCGTGATAACCAGTGAGTTTCTACATACCTTGATATGGAAAATAGCTCTTGATACTCATGTTCTTCTATATCGTTCCTTTCCATCGTGCTGGAAGCCTTGTCTAACGTCAAGTTATAACGAGCTTATAAGCTGCTACCTGTTCATGCGAAACTGCAACCCAGTTACGCTACTCAATAATATGTACCACAACATCAAATCTAAAATTAGTTTTAAAAACCAGTTCTCTGACGATTTCATTTGTCATGATGGTGTAAGACAGGGTGAAAACCTTCCCCCTCTCCTATTTTCATTATTCCTAAATGATCTCGAACACTATCTACTGAACAATGAATGCAAAAGGTGTTGATCTTGAAAATCTTATCGATACTAACCTAAAAGTATTTTTCCAGCTCCTAATACTACTGTATGATGATGACACAGTTATAGTAAGTGATAACCCTAAAGACCTACAAAGATCGTTAAATCAGTTTTTCGACTCCTGTGCTCTATGGAAGTTAAATGTTAATCTAACAAAAATTAAAAGTGGTGATCTTTGGTGCCGGACCTTCCAACACATCGAAATTATGTTTCACTATCGGCTCCGACCCTATCAAAACTGTAGATTCATATAACTACCTTGGCCTAAGACTACACAGGAATAGACGATGTATACAAGCAGTCAAATCGCTGTCAGAAAACGCAACTAAAGCCATGTTCAGCTTACTCATGAAGTCCCGAAATGTTACTTTGCCATTAGATTGCCTCTTATCTGCAGTTGATGCAATCGTCGTCCCTATGCTATTATATGGTGTCGAGATTACAACTTCAAAGTAATTGTTAATGTGATACGAGTAGAGCTGTGGGGGTATATAACTTCTTGGGTATTGGTCCTCAGGACACTTGCTTGAATACACCCTAATTATAAGGACCTCACAGCTCTCTTCTCTCTTGTTTCAAGGTAAGTACCATTTAAATATTCCTATTTTATGACTAAACTTCTTATTTCATTGTTATTATTGTCTAGAAAATGTTATAGTTAATTTGAATCAGTACTGCCATATTGTAACGCTCAATCTACTGTGTACAAGTTCTAAATGACTGCTCATTATATATTATTTACCGTTTAATACTCAGGCACTTTCCAGTGTTGTTTGAAGTGTAATGCGTCGTGGGCTCCTCCAGTTTATGTGTCATTAATATGCGGCACCAATAGTTCTCTCCTATATTTCGACATCGATGATTATATTCCCCCTCTATGTCTAACATCATCTGTTCAACATGCCAGATGCATATACAGTTTATATTTCCGTGTAGTAGCGTAGCGTACATGTAGCTTAGTCACAAAACGGTTCCTAGTTAACATAACTGTTTCAAGCAAGATTTATTTTATGCGTAGGTCAGTTATTCCATATTGTCCGACAGTCCCCCGATGTATAGAGGTTATCACGCGAGTGTACTTGGGGATGGTAAATATCCGGCATTAGGAATAAACATTATATTGTATTTAGCGAGCCTTGTGTATAAACAGTGAAAGTAGTCCCTACTTGACCTTTCATATTTGCATCTCCATCCGCATATGACCCCAGCGGATGTCGTTTTTATCCGTCGGCTTCATCCTGCCGAGAAACCTACCCATTACATGATAAGAAGGTATATGAGCAGCTTTACCTTCCATGTGCGCTTACAGAATAGGCTATAACAACGCAGTCCATGTTTCTTAGGCTTTATCCTCATTAAGTAAGTATTTGAATATATTGTAAAGAGTCCCGTCCCTCATATAGTGGCATACGCTACAACACAGCCTATAGCACAATTTCATTACCGTAGTTTTTTGAATACTGTTATAGTCATCCTTTATACTTCATAACAACGTACATTCAAACGCGCACCGTTTAAGTATACAATTACCGTATTCACCCCATTAGCTGTTATCGTCTAGCTCCGTATATATTTAGGAAATGCGCGTAGTCAATAGCAACACAGCAGCCATGATTTATCACCGTAGACACTAAAATAATCACTACTAAAACTAATAATTACACTAACTAAAATCGAGCTATATTGTCTACCGCGTACATTCGTATCTTTATTTGGATCAAGTATTTTCTTTCCGTATGTACCGAAATTATTATGTTGTGATAATTATTACTGAACCTACAAATATTAATGTTTATCGTCTTTTCATAAGTAAATGTCATGTTCCTCATCTAAACAGTTTGCGCAGTCTACCGTATATGCTCTACGTAATTATTTTCATTTAATATTAATAGCCATAAAAGGTTTACCGTAGTTACCCAAATAGGCGCTACATACCACACATAGAATTGTCAAGTAGGTTTTACCGTACATGCTCTATTAAAATGCTCCTAATCAACTTAGTTGTTAAGAAATGTTATTTGGCATTACCGTTATTACTCTAGTAAATATTGCATCTGTTGTATAATGTTACCGTACATACTCCAATATTAAATACACTGCCTTTATTATTATGCCTTTATTAGATGGACACTGTGTTAGCATAATATTATCATTATTATCATTGTACAGTAATTGATGTAACTTGAATGATATGACACCCTTGCTTGAATAAACCCTAAGGACCTCACAGCTCTCTTCTCTCTGGTTTCAAGGCTAGCTCCCAATAGCTAATTCCCCAAATCGAGGCCTGGCAGTTATTTGAATCACCCCTCAAGGCTGTCTTAATATGGTCATCTGTGGGAATAGGCTCAGTGTTAATACAAACCTTGGTAGTTAAACATGTAAAGACACCAGCACAGTTGATGAAGTTGTTTGCCTTTGATTTCCCGCATGGAGATATGTGAGTTTTCCCTATTGTTGACAGAGGTACATACTCCAGTCTGTTTTAACCTTAATATTGCAACTAATGTCGCAAGATCATAATTTATCTTGTAATGTTCCACAGGTTTCAGATACCAAACCAGTCATGAAAATAATAAGGGCCTTCTTCGCATAAAAAGTAAAGAATAAAAAATACAATGCATTATTATGTTACATCACATCAACTGACGTAATGTAAGCAATACGGAAATTAAAGAGAAGTAATAAAACAATGATTATATAACTGCCCCGTGATTAACACTGTTGACAGTATTATTATCAGTCTTGACGTCGGAATATTATCAGAATCATGGTACCAGAATATTACTTGCATGTGAACAATTTTGAAAAAACGTCATTTAAAAAATCCAAATTCACATGGACGCACCTCTATATTGAGTCGCCCGGGTAAAGTTCACATCTATCCTTATTGGTCGATGAATTAAATTTTGCAACTACTTAGAAATAATATCACATACACAGTCTGAATTTCGAAATGGTTTCTCAACAACACTCAACACTTTTATCATAATAAATATACTATTGTTGATATAGTTGGCTGATTCCCAAATTGAAACGCGAAGGTTAAACCAGAACTAGATTGCGAAATCAGTAAATAGCAAATCAAGCTCAATGAACTATCAACAAATTCATTGAAATACATAACATAAGATTTACATTCATAAAAAGCCATACAGCGAGTGAAAATATGTGAATCAGATACAATGGGTGAAAAATATGTTGCAGCAGCAAAATAAATATATCAGGCCCTGTGCATGTATGTCTACGGTTTAAGTGTTTCGTCATGTTTGCCATTTTGAGGTGCATCTGCCCGAGTAGAATATGGCTACCTGGCTGTAAAACGAACAATTATGACACGTGTTTGTTATAAACGTTTTCGAATGAATTCCTTACAAATACTATACATATTTCAAAGTTTGGGTATGTAAGAATTCATTGCAACAGGCCACTGCATTATTTTCTTTTTGGTTAAATTAACGAACAGATGAACTTACTAGTTTCATGTTTTCAGCTTGTGATGTTGGAAGTTATGGAACAAACTGCCAGGGCAACAATTCTCTCTGTGACCACGTGTCAGGGCAACAATTTTCTCTGTGACCACGTGCCAGGGCAACAATTCTCTCTGTGACCACGTGTCAGGGCAGTTCATTGAGGACTGTTCGGCTGGGTGGGACGGAACGGACTGTACACATGGTAAAAGAATAGTTCACCCAATTACTACCAACTTTATACGACACGTAATTATGTCTGACCAACATTCTGTTATCATCACGTCCTTATCCCAACTCGTAATGTAAATGGGGGGATTGCGAAAGTTTTGATTTTTCACTTGAGTGAAATAACTATACACATGTATATCTTGTATACACAATACCGTAACACCTGGTTATTTATTATCATAACTTGACAATATTTAAACGCACATGTAACTTTAATCATTATACAATTAGTTTTGCTGTTGTACACATTATGCATGTACATTGTGTTGCCACACTGCAACATTTGTCACACTGAACTGATCATTCTTAACATAATATGGATATGCACCGGTAATTAAATAGTCCAGCAATATATCGACAGGATGCGTATACATGTACATTGAAAGGCAAAAGAAACGTCATGTGGGTGTATCATATAAATATCTTTATTTTTAAATGCTTATATATGTAAGTAAAGACATCGGGGAAAGTCAGTGTCTGACCCACATGAAATTAACAGTCTGGGGAATGTTCTTGCGAATTGTGAATTTGGGGAGGCACCAGAAGACATCACAGCTGGGGGTGGGGGTGGGGGTGGGGGTGGGGGTGGGTGGGGTTGGGGGGGGGGGGGGGGGGGGGTTCAAAATCAGTACCTGATATAGCCACCACGGGCGTTGACTACAGCCACACATCTCCTGTACATGGAGTGGACTAGCCCGTTTATGAAGGCCATTGGGATATGGGCCCATATCCCCAGGAACGCTTCACGCAGTTCTGCTGCAGTTGTCGGCCTTGGGCGTACGTCGTTGAGTCGGCGTTGGATCTCATCCCACAAGTGTTCAGTGGGATTCAAATCCGGACTGAGGGCAGGCCAAGGCATGATTTGGATGTTGTGCTGCTGGAGGAAGTTCCTGGTGACTCTGGCAGTGTGGGGACGAGCGTTGTCTTGCTGAAAGGTGTGGTTTTGATGACGGGCAAAAAAAGGCACGATATGGTGTCTGAGGACTTGGTCAATGTAGTCGAGGAGCTGTGATGCCATTACCCCTGCCTGGACCAATATTCTGAAAGACCACAGGTCCCACTCCCTGGTTCAGTCCGATTCCATCCCAAACCATGATGCTTGGGCCG